TACTTTTTAAAGTAATGTCCCTTAGTAGAGAAACAAAGATTATCTGAGTGTTTTTGAACTCAAGCCAATAGGACCTGTCTGGCAGTGAAACATCTCTTGCTATGCAGACATCCAGTCTCAGCAACAAGAAAAGTGCTTTAAATATCACCTGAAAACTCTGTCCTAGGTCTCACATTTGCATTTGAATAAGTTTGTTTCTTTGTCTAAAAGCTCTGATTTTTCAGTCTGCACTACGAGGATATTGAAGCAGTTCATCACTGTTGCTATGAAAGTTCAAAGCCATTTATCTTCAATAAGGTTACTTGATACAATTTCTAACAGCAAGAACCTCTCTGTCCTGGAGCTTTCTACAAGATTAAGTGATGTATTCAGATAAGCAATGTCTCAGGAGGATTTTCAGTACCTGGAAGACATAAAGCTCATTCTAGTTGAGGAATGGCAGGTTTTGCAATCGGTGTTTCCCATTTTCCTACCAATAAGCTTTGTTAGTCTCTTTCTTGGAGCCTGGCATCCTTTTGTGAAAGTACTGCAAGAAGAGCCATCTTTGCAATGAAAGTTAGTTCTCATCCTTCTCTTGAAGATTATTACTGCCTGCTAATCCTTCACATGCATGTTCTGGAGTGGCAGAGCCCAAAGGGAGATAAAAAAGCTCTTCATTAGTCTTTTGCCTTTGTGGAGAGAGAAAGAATGAGTGCTTGTAGTCCTAACCAAGGGTGTGAGATATAGGTTTAATGTGATGTTGTGTCAAAGATTTTTTGCATTGTTTTCAACAAATGCTTTCCTGTCTTGGTGGGAGCTATGCACATGAAAGACAGCAAAACTGTCCTGTGTCAGGACTTGGAGGAATCACTAGCAGCTGCAGGTAGCTGGGTACCCACCAAAACCAAAGGAGCTCTTGGGCAGGATGGGGCTGGGTGTTTGTACTCACTATCCAGTGCCATTGTGCAGGATCGTTTACATGCAGACCCAGCTGATCTGCTCATCTGCACTGCTCCAAAAGACAGGGCTCCCAGCAGACGAGAGGCCCTTTTCCTAGGTGAAAGGTGCTGGTGTGAAGATGCACAGAGCTTAACTCAGGAGGTCTGATATTTTCCTGGCAGCCCATGCTGTGACCTCACTGCAAGTGGTTTCTGTTGGGCAACTTTTCCATGCAGGGATTGAGCTCTGCCCTCAGCTCTATGTGAACACCTCTGGAGCCCGCAGGTGCTGCCGTGTCCTATATATATATATATATATATAATGGCCAGTCTTTGCGAACGAAGATCTGGGGAAAGGTCTTTTACCTTTCCAGCCTGCGCAATGGATTTTTTAGGTGAGACACAGCCTGCACTGAACTGAGCCCACCCTTTAATCCTAAGGTTCATCTGCCGGGGCCAAGCAAGCTTGGACAATGGCAGTGAGGTCCTCAGGACATAGGTTTGTTTAGAGTGACCTTCTCATAGATGGATGGCCTCACAGGGCTAACGGGTTCCATTTGCCCGGGAGACCGAGGAATCGAACCCGGGTCGCAGCAGTGAGAGTCCTGCATGCTAACCACTAGGCCACCAGGGGCCGTGTCCTACCCTGCTGTTAAACCCCCTTGTTTTCCGCAGGACCATCTCTGCGAAAGATGAATCATCTTTCTGTGTGAACAGTTCTCGTGATGACACATGGCAATCTTTGTTTTCTGCCCTTCACTCTGATGGCATGAGCGTGCAGAGTTAATTGCATTAAAAAAAAAAGATTAAAAACCTATGCTTGTGTCTGAACAGTTCAGAATCTGGAGCTCTTCCGTGTGAGAAGGTGTTTCTGATCCAATTGGAGAAGAAGTACATCTGAGTCTATTCTGACAGATTCTTCTCCAAATAGTGTTTTTCAGGTCTGTGTTGGGCTAGAAAAACAGATAAATCACCTATACTACAGTACTGTCAATTGCTGATGCACAAAAAAGAGAGTCATGCAGCAGTATCCAGCAAGTTATTGTAAATGACGTCTTTTGTTATAGCCCTTTTATTGTCCAGGATTTACCATCTCTCCTTTCTTCAGTAGTTTACTGGCCTGTATTCATAAAGGATAGTACGAAGGAGAAGATGTGATATCAAGTCCAGTGAGGACTACTGCCCTACATCTGAACAAGCCCTACAGCTGCCAGTGGCACTGCAAGATCTTTTGTCATCTTCAAGATGATGAGACTGAGGATGCTTCAGCTGATTTATAAGGAGTCATGGATATATGATGTGAGCTTAATTCATAATAGGATTGAGCTGAAAGCACTAATGGTGTTTTACTGCAGATCTGACATTAACATTCACACGGTGTCTGATGGATAGTGCAGAAGAACCAAAGCAGGTTTTGTAGTGGATCTGGTAGCAATCCATCTTGCTCAGCCTGATGAAATTATTGTTGCAATTTACTAAACTAAGCAAAAGAGAATCCACCCATGAACAGAGATATGGAAAAAGCCTAAAAAACCCAACGAACAAAACCAAACCCAAAACCAATATCTTGTCTACATAAAAAAAAAAAAAAAGGAACACCACTCTCAGATCAGGTAGGTAGGAAAATAGAATTTTGCAACAGCTGCATAGCGATTTTGCAAGACCTCATTTTCTCCTGCACCAAATGAAGGGGACTTCCTTACTTCAAAGACATGTAAGGTTGTGTTCTTCACAGGAAGGAAGGAATTAAGAGTGATTTGTTTTAATACATTATAAAGATGCAAAATACTGGGGTACAAAATGAATTCTAGAAGCCCTGATTACAGCCAAATTTAGGAAATCAAGCTACCTTTCAACCATAAGCAGAGAGCTGCAAAAAGTGCTATATTATGGGCACTGAAAGAGTGTGTGCAAATTGAACTTCACTGTTGATCCTATTTCCAGCATTTTGGATTTATGTCCTACAATGCAGAATATTTGTTTCACCTTTGCTTTATAACAGTACAAGGTTACTCATAGGCTTTGAACTATGACAGAATTAGAATGCCTTCTGTGGTAGAAAGTCCTTAAATATATCCTTAAACATTTGAGCTTCATGTTGAGATGCTTACAAAGGCTGGTTTTAGCACCCATCTCTGTTTTCCGCCTGAAATGTGTCCTCCTTTTGTTTACTGGGAATCTCACTGGACAGATTTTCATCAGTACTCCAAATGCAGTGTAGTACTCTAGTGTAGTACTCCAATCTAGATTTCTGAAATCCCTACCAGAGCTGGGTCTTTGCAGATGTGGAGAAAGCCAAGACAAGCAAGGAGGTTACTTTGTTGGGTCCACAAAGTAGATATTTCAAATACAAAAGGGGCCAACTAACAAGAAGTAAGTAGTCTGGAAAAAGTAAATAACCAAGAAATATACCTCCCCCTAGAACTTCTTGTGATCAGGTAACAAAAGCATCATTACATTTGGTCTCTACCCCAGTGTACAGAGACATCAGAAAGTTTAAACTAGAGGAACTGTTTTTCTTGGAGTCCTATTGCTTTTGCTTTATTTTATTTTTACTGGAGGAGATGGAGAAGCCAGTTTCAGTCCACAAAAGCACCAATGATTTATTTATTGCTGTCAGTTAAGGCAAGGGCAGCATTTGCTTAACATCGCAGGGAAAAAGCAAGCTGCTCTGAAGCCTGTGTGTTCCAGTGAAGCACTGCAAATCAGTATGTCCCTCCCTGGCCTTCTGAATTCAGAGGTGGGAGAAATGTGTAGCTGTGCTCCAGTGTATTCTTACAGGGACTGAGACTTCTTTGGACCTCAGCTTGCATGCTCATGAGCAGCCTGTTGAAGAGACCCTAGCTCCTCTCTGACCTGCTATGAAAGTCTAGGTAAGGAGGTGACGTACAACTATGTCTCAGAAGACATTGCCTGCATGGCATTCATCTCAGGAAAACTTCATTTCACTTCATGCATAATTTATAATAACTCTCAGGAGAGCAACAGATGGGAGAGATCAGCATCAATATTCTTGTCTACCCAAAGTTAGCTACAGCGAGATGCGTTTTGAAGCACTGAAGGACTATTCTCAGCTTGCTTCCCCCCTTCCTTGGCTTTCCAAGGAACTCAAGCTATGAGCCTCAGTCTCTCTAGCTACTAACTGACCCAATTGACCAGATGTTTCTTGACAAAGCATTCAAGAGCAGCCAGACCACAGCCACACACAGGCAGAAGGGAAGACAGGAAAAGGCAGTTTTTCATGCTTCTCATGTGTCACAATCCCTGTAGAGGCCCCTCCTTCAACGTCACCTACTACAATGGGATTTCTCTGTTGCTGTTAGCTATGGAGGAAACAGGCCTGACTGCAGATGGAACCGAGTGTCAGGATGACCAGATCCTGCCTCCAGCTCTCCCCAAGGAGCCATCCCAGGAAGATGCTCTTAGAGAAGCCCGTGTCTTTTTATGATCATCGCTGTTTGTAAAACACCCTCAACAGAAGAAGGGGACCATCGTTCTTTCCCTGCCCCCAAAATGTATGGAAGGAAGAAAAGAGATTTTTTTTTTTAAAGGAGTGTATTTTAAATCTCACGTCTATATTGTTTTAAATCAATATTTAGCAGCACAAACTGTGGGTTTAAGGGGCACAGAATTCCATAGCAAGATCAGTGCTGAGCTTAGGACTGTCTTATACTTGTTTTTCTGAAAAGTGCTTTTTGGATGCTTAAGGAGATGAATGCCCCAATGCAGCTAAGAAGATGAATGCCCCAATGACTGGTTATGGTTATATCACACCTATAGCCAGACCATCTAGCAACCTCTCACTGCCCTGTATGATACAGGAGTGATATTTAACCATGCTTACTGTGACCACCTACTAGCTGTCCTAAATTGAGGGTTTCCAGGCCCCTGCTCAGCAGAGGTGGTGACTTCTTCTGAAGCTTTCAGTGTTTGAATGGGGAAGTTGTTCCCTCAGAAGCTGAAGGGAGCTGTGAAACTGCAGGCTCCCGCAGGGCTTGGTTGTGACCACAGTAAAAGAGTTAAATCACTGTTGCTAATATGGAAACCTGGGTGCTCTTGTCCCTTAGTGGAATACTTGACCTTTCATCAGGCACAGGGGCCTCCAGTCAATTAGGCAGGCAATGAAGGAAACATATTTGCATAGCATTCTCAGAGCAAAGGTTTCTGTGAGTCACCCTGGGTGCACTTTTCATTAACATGTGTTGTTTTCAGTGCTGCTGGAGGGCTACAATAAATTGATTAGTCTCTTTAAAATTTATCATAAAATTGTATTAACAAAATGGTAAATACATTACACAGAGACTGTAACCACAGGATGTTTACATAATGCCCACTCTGGACGAGTACTAAATACCATAAAAGACCTGAGACCCCCCCAAAAAGTCTGCAAGTTCTGGCTCTCACAAGGCAGCTAGAGCACCACTGTTGTTGCTGTTTCTCCTCCTGCTCCTCTTCCCCCTCACATTTCAGCTTCGGAGTTGTGAACTTTGCTGGTTGTTATTGCAATTCCTATCGCTAGGCTTCCGTTGTCAGAAAAGAGTTGAGCCAGGGAAGTGTTCAGCACAAGGCAATCCCCGTCGGAAATGACAGAGTCCACACACTCCAGTACCGACCTGGGGGTCGCCTCCCACTTAAGGCGCCTCTGGTTCCTATTGAGCTCCAGCCGGTAGGTGAAGTTGTCAGCTTGGGTCGGTGTGCCAATCAGCATCATCGTGGCGAAGAACTGCGGGTGGCCTTCATACTTCTCCTGCTTCCTGAGTACCAGCAAAAACTGGTGGCCAAGGCAAGAGTGCATGATGATCCAGTCTGTGGGTGCGGGCAGGTGCATGTCCGTGGCCAGGAAGACAATCTCTGCACCCTGAAGGATGTTGATGTGATGGGTCTGCCTCAGGTGGGACACCACCACCTCCAGGTGCCCTTCCCATGGGCAGGAAAAGAGCGGGCACATGCAGGGAACCAGCTGGGGGTCGTGCACTGCTTCGTGATGATGGCAGGGAGGAAGGATGCCTCGCTCTGTGGACGTCTGCGCAGCTGCACAGAGGGTCGGTGCATACTACAAGAAGAGAGAAATTACACGTGATAGCAAGTGGACCAAGAATCAGTGTAGATATGCAAGGTGCAGACCCTGCAGACATCAGTCACCTAACACTCCACCTAAAACAGCACTAGTGGGAGTGCAGGGAACTCAACACTCTGGAGATCAGAGGCAATTCTGACCTGGATCTGCATGACAAAAAGTGCCTCATTCTGCAGGAGAAGAGAGAAACTGTTTGAGTCATGGTAAATCACTTAAAATGAAAATGATGTATGTGTTTAAAGAGTGATTTCATTAGTTTAGGGGGAAAAATCTGATTAAAAGAAAAAAAACAACAAAGCAAGGACAGCATGGGGTATTTTATATAGTTAAGGCTTTTGCTGCTCAGTACAAGGAAATGAAATATGTATGGCATTATTATTCTTTAATGAAACATACATGCAAATACAGGCATTTTTCGTGAAACAATAAGCTGTATAACATCCTTAATTTGTGAAATAAAAGTCAGGTTTTTATTGTATACGATACCTTAATTTCTTTTTTTTGGTCAATATATTTGTGCCTAATAGATGCACTTACCTCCATAAATCTTAAATTGCTCTCAAAGGTGAATGGATGGCTAATTTAGGGCATTTTTGCAATAAAGTAAATTTTGATTAAGGTAGGGCTGCTCACTAAAAAGGCAGTAGCTCTTGTAGAAGATTTCCACATGAGGACTAGAAAGCAAATTGCTCTGCCTCTGTCAAGTGGACATTGTTGAAGATAAATAAGTCTTATTCAACCAAAAGTGTATTCACAAGTAATGCTATTCAGGAAGAGTAATGGCTCTCCACAATAACTCTGTGCATAGACAAACCCTAAGGCACAGGCATGCTGGTCATGATTCATTCTACCCAATTTTAAACATTTACTTCAGCATTTACTTCAGCCAACCAAGCCATCTTGGACTGCCTCTGCAGTCTGTAGGGTGCGGCAGCCCTTATAGTGGAGGATGCAGACCTCAGATGGAGTAATTCACATTCTAAAGGTGACACCAGCTGAGGCCAGACAGACTGAAATCCAGTCTGTCTAGTTGTACCTAATTTTTGGCTGTTTAATAAGTTTTTGTCTTTGAACCCCTCTTCTAAGAGCGTGTCTCATATATCCATTAATGTCTCTTATAAGAGTACATACATATATATGTACATTTTGCTTAAACATATGTTTTAGGAAGATTCATGTAATTCCCTGAATACTGCCCCACATCCACTCATTTTAATATATGTACCCAAAATTTAAGGAACTACGTCATAGTTCTAACATCTAACAGTTGTTCTCCTTCATACCACATCCAAGTCATAGCAGATTTGGGATTTATTCAGTTATTTTTTGAGCAGAGACTTGTTTTAATCAGGGGCAAGCATAATCCCATAAAATGGGTGCTAAATTTGTTGCAAATGGTGTATTTCTCATCTCTTTATGGATATCATGGTGCCTTTCATTACAGCCTTGCTCTAAGCAGTTTTGCTTTCCAGGATGTTTTGGAAGGCAATTTCTTGGGTGAACTGTGCTAACTCTCAGATGACCAAGGCTTCCTTGCCAACCAGGATGACAAGTCCTGGATCTCCATTCTCACTTTGTCAGTAGCTGCCCAGGAATGTGATGGGCAGAGTAAGGTTGTGATTGCTGCTGCTGTGAAATTCATGTTTGCTCCCAAGGCACTGGACGTCAAAGGGAGCTGTTTCTTCTTCCTCTGGCATTTGTTGTGAAGAATAATTGACTAGTTAAGCCCTATTATTGAAAATTCCTTTTTTTGGAGAATTACTACTTCAATAGTACAGTTCTACTTTTCCCTTCCTCATTTTTTATTTGTTTTGCTGTGTAAAATTCAAGAATATAAACTTTCCAGGAACATAATGAATTGAGGACAGATAAATGACTATCATTGTCCAGGAAATAAAACAGGTCATTATAAACTAATCAAGGTTTGTGGCATTAGCTGTCTGCTTATCGCAGTGGGATTACTGGTTCACACTTAATTCTGCATTAATTTTTGAATCCCATTAGGATGAAAGTTATGGTTAATTTAAACTCTTTGGTGAAGGAGGCTACTGCAATGGCAGATTGTAAAAGCCTTAAAAAAAAAAAAAATCCCTGAAATGCTAACTGCCTCATAAAATGAATTCTAATCTCCCAATCTAATACAGTGGGTGTGAGCAATTACTTTCTCTCACCAAACTGTTAATGCAACATTAGTGATTATACTAATTAAAACTAATGAACTCGTACTCACATGCTGATAAACCTCTCAACCACTCAACAAGTTCCAGCCTTCTATCAGTTTTATTTAACTCCCCTTTTGGAAGATGAATCTTAAATTAACCTCTTGAATAACATTCAAAATTAGGTTTTGAAATGTGAAGCTTTATAGACTGTGTATAATTCTTCTCCAAAGATTACCAGAGTCAGAGAAACCATTTCCACTGAGGATGTAATTGAATTTAGAAATGCATTCTCCTAATTTGATAAGCATGGAGAGCAATGGTAGCTCATCCATCTAAACTGCATCCAAGGTAAGAAAATAGAAATATCTTCAAAAAATCTCTTTATGACGAACACATTTCTATGATTTAGGAATTAGGAATATAAATTACAATGAGCAATTTATTCAATGTATCTTTCTTCTTTCCTTAATTTGTGATTTTGTGTGTATGTGCACAAATAATTGTGAATTCTCTTTCACATCTCATATTTCTGAAACATTCCCAAAACACTTCCATGAACCACTTCAGCAAAGGATTTCTGGTCTGACTTTGTTCATTTCAGGTTTACTGAAAATTCTGAAATCCAGGACAAACCACATGATCTATCTTTATTCTCTGACTAGGTGAGAACCATCTTCAAAATCTGATTTCTGAACTATTCAATATTCCTGTTTCTAAACTCTAAACTTGTAGTATTTTTAAATAAACATTTAATAATTCTCTGTCACTGTAAAAAAAAAGTCTCAGAGGAATCTATTATTTTACTCTTACTTTTGAGGTATGAATGTAACTATTGGGGTGTCTGTGCCCTTGTTGGTGATTCATATGACTGTGAATTGAAGCACTAAAACTGAAATGCAAAATGGGCATAAAATGGTCACCCTGAGTGTATTTAAATGCTTGAATAAATATTTATGAACATTTTTTCTCATGTTTAATCTCCTCCAGTATTTACTTTCCATCATTTATTGCCTGATTACCTGATAAAATTAGGTTTATTATATTGTTGTGTCAGTCCAATATTATGCTCAATTATCTTTTAGCTTGCTGGCCAATTTTAGTCAAACTGAACTGTGGGACAGAAATCTCAAATGCTTTAATTTTCAATCATTTTTATGAGAAGAGGCATCAGGGTAGAGAAGTATGACCCTTGCATGTCTCCAGGGAGGAACAGTTTGCCATGTGTGCAGTATTACATTGGCAGACAAGAGAGAACCTAAACAATGGCAGTTTGATCCCAAATGTATTATAGACACCAGCGAACCCACATGAGACAGTGCCTTTGTGAACAGGAGAAAAGCTTCAGCCAGAGTGCTCCTCATTAGACGCAACATAATCCCACCATGAGGCACCAAGCCGCAGGAAACCAGGCTCTGCTGCTCACAGAAAAATTTCTTTTTAATGATGCAGCTTATTAGAGTGTAATTCTTTTTAAGAACAAGTAATTTGGCAAAGAGCAATTTATAAACACATGGTGCTTTTCTCATGGAAAAAAACCCCAAACCATGATTATACTTGGACCTGGGACACAAGCTTTCTGCTAAAAACGCAACAAACCACACCAGGTGTGATTCACTTGTTTTACCTTTGATGTCTGAGGAGTGGGTGGCTAACACTGAAAAATATCAGTTCCTTTTACAGCCCATGAAGAGTTCATGGAGAATGCAATTCACTTGACCCCAAGAGGTGCCAAAGGAACATCCCCCTGGACACCGCTCTCTACATGCAGCCAGGACCAAACATATCCTCAGTGCAGTTTTACCAGTTTCTAGACAAAGAGCAGAAGGGCAACCCTATTTTAGCCAGGGAAGAGCTGGCTAAGAGAAGTGGATGCCTATTCACATAAGGGTGTAAATCCTTGGTTCCCCACCACTGCTACACTACTCAAGTCACCTCCAGTGACTTGGTAGAAAATTCAGGGGAAGTATGAAGGGTAGATCCAAGAGTTAGAGATCTCCAAGATCTCCAAGAGGTAAAAAAGCCACAAGTACATTTCTGACTCCGCAGCCGCAAAGGTGAGGCACCCATCTGGGAGAAAGGTCTTTGGTATTGCTCCTCATGCTCTGAGGGACCTTTTGTATTAGAACTAGCAAAGTATTTAGGTCAACTGTAGTACAAATAGTGGAAACAGAGGCAGCAACCCCCACTGCACCTCTGCTGGCTGAGCTCATGGCCCTGTAGGATGCAGACACTGGCTACACCACCATCCCTCTAGCCCTGCTTCCCTGCTCCACATCGGCACAGTTTCAATAGGGACAGCAAGTGTGGCTGCTTCCCTGAGCAGCCAAATGCCTTACCACTAAAGTTCTGACTTGAAAATGGTGAATTTTCTCAAGACAAACCCCGCAGGGTGAGGAAGGGTTGAAACCAGTCCTCCCATCCCACAGGAGGCGGCCCAGACACTGATGACCTACAGTATATGGAGAGTGAGTAGCACCACCACATTGTAAAAGAATAAACATGCTCAGGTCTTCAGAGAGAAGGTTAAGTGTCACCTTTCTACACTTTCCAGTGTTGGCCAGTGTTATATTGGGAGTCTGGATGCCTCATTCATACTTTTACTTACAGTAATGCACATAATATGCAAAAATCAGCCTGTGAACAGTACAAGTGTGTGCTGAAAATATCCTAAGGAGGGAGGACAAGGACTAGTTCACTGCCCAGTGAATAAGGGTTTCTGACAGCAGAACAGGTGCTGCAAATAATCACCCTTTTCCAGACACTTCACGCCCGTGCAACTGTATTTTCTCCAGTGATCACACACACTTTGCAAAC